CCACTAGGCAGTTAAACAAAAAGAAAAAGAAAAGCCCTGCAAGAGGATAACGTACCCAGGTGGAATAGAGCCCATCACTATGTGAGGTGATAACTAGCACCACAGGACCCTATGCTCCTACCAGTGACAAAAACTACCCCCTTCCCACAGACAAACAGAGAACACAGAAACCCCAGCTGACTCCAAGGGCAGTCAATCACTGAGCAGCAAAAGACACAGTGGAGGTAGATTCCAAAGTGACTTGTGGAAGGTGGCCCCAAGCCCCAAGAGCAGTACTTACAGGGCACCTAGAGAAAGAAATCCTAGGCGCATGCAGCCCGAGTACTGAAGAAATTACTCCTGACTCGCACACCAACCATAGAGACAGCACCACACCACAAGGCACAGAACAAGCAATTTTCTGGAGCCAGAGGCACACGACCTTGCCAATGTCACATCAGCCAAGAACTGAAGGGTGGGTAGCCGGCGTGAAGGTCTGGGGCTCCCCCTTCCCCCTCCCGGGGAGGGGGGGGGGGTTGCACAGACGGCAGAGTGGCAACGTGGTAACATCATGCAAGTTTGCTTGTTTTCATTTGGGGAGTTCTGTCCACTCATTTGGCTCTCTTTAGCAATGTTTTCACCAGAATAGGGGTTTGTTTTGGGGCACTTACCTTTCTGGGTGCCTGACCTGGTCGATGACAGACATAGAATGCTTCCAACCACACGGGGAGTTTCTATAGGCCATTGCTTCTCGTGCCTCTCTGAGGGGGCCAGGTTCTGGCTCGTGGTCCCCAGTAGGCTTAGAACTCCATGCACATAGACTTATTCCAGAAATCTAATATATCCCTATCAGCCTGGATAGCTCCGGGGAGCCGACGAGGCTCCCCAGAAATGCCCATCCATGCTACAGAAGGCGAAAGGCAGGATGACAGAAACCTCCAGAAGTAAGATGATTCCATGGAACCATACAGTATATGTAAGCACATCCTGTGGAAGCAGCTGAGGGCACCTCTGGACTCTCCTCGAGCTTACTCCCAGCCCCAGAAACCCAGCTATAATGACCCTGGGGAAGAACCATATTCTGCACCTTCTGTCCGAGATGGCAAGGCATTGTCCCAAAGAGACATATCGGAAAAGAGAAGATCGGAGATAGGTATTGGTTGTGAAGGCAAAGACTCTGCATTTCTAGAGGGAAGGGACAGCTGATCTGCCTCACAATCAAAGCAGAGGGAAATGCCCCCTGGGTGGGCAAGCTATCCTCAGCTAAACCTCAACCAGACTCTGAAACCCTCAGATGCTTCAGAGCCGGAACCATGGAGGGGGGGGGGGAGGGGGGGAGAGACCACAAGCCAAGCAAATCACATCAGCAGAGGAAAGAAAAGGATTTTATTTTTAGAACTACAGTATTTAAACCAGGCAGAATACACCCTACCCTTCCATAACCAGTTCCTTAAATACTACAGGGTTATCTAAATCAAATACCAAGCTGCAAACCAGGATTTGGGAAAAATAAGCCCGTAAAGTGACAGTTGCATGAAATTCCTCCTGTCTTAAGGCTGGCTTAGCCAAAATGAGACCTAGCAAAATGAGCACACACTTTGCAGGTCTCTGGGTCAAAGGTGTCAATAACCCAACAGGCAGCTTAGCGCAGACAGACAATGATCGTTGGTGTGTAGCAAGGTCGCTGATCACCCTTCAAACGTGCACATAACAAGTGTGGACCCGATTGATTGATCTACAATGAGGCACACTGCAGACCTGGAGGCAAGTTACCTCTAAGTTACTTAGATATCTGAAGCCAACTAAGTTGGACACTCAGACTCCAGGAACGCTTGACGAAAGAATACACCGAGCACAGCCTAGGAATAAACACGGCTTCGCAGATCTACACCACATACCATATACAACCATGCATACACTAGTGCCTCAAATCACACCCAAGAGATCATTCCCAACCATAGGGCCTCACAGTGGAGTCGACTCGTGTACTACTCTGGGACAAGCCTCTTCACCCTGGTGACCTGGTCTTTCAAGGCTAAACTCACAAACATACCAAAGATGGTATTCTATCAGTGCAGGAATAATGCTGCACTAACAAAGCTGCATACCTGGAGCATAGCATACTACACCTGGAGAGGATTTTGGGAGTTCTTCTAATCCCCGAGTCCAGCCTGGGGCCAGGCTCGACTTGTGATAACTTGATCCCACAGGCTGTTGCTTGGAATGGCCTACAGGCCCACATACCCACTACAGCTTGGTTAGTCCGGCACTTCTACCTTGACCTTGAGGTTACCTTGAGGTGATTCTGGGGCTCAGCGACCCTGCGGCCCAGTCGTCGACCAGGCCTCCATGATGCTGGACTGGTCAACCAGGCTGTTGGACACGGCTGCTCGCAGCCTGACGTATGAGTCACAGCCTGGTTGATCAGGTATCCTTTGGAGATGTTTGTCAAGTTCTCTCTTGAACACTGTGAGGGGTCGGCCAGTTATGCCCCTTATGTATAGCGGAAGCATGTTGTTGAACAGTCTCGGGCCTCTGATGTTGATAAAGTTCTCTCTCAGAGTACGTACCTGTTACACCTCTGCTCTTCAACGGGGGTATTCTGCACATCCTGCCATACCTTCTGGTCTCATGTGCTGTTATTTCTGTGTGCAGGTTTGGGACCAGCCCCTCTACTATTTTCCATGTGTAAATTATTATGTATCTCTCCCGCCTGCGCTCAAGAGAATACAGGTTTAGGCTCTTTAGTCAGTCCCAATAGTTTAGATGTTTTACTGAGTGGATTCTAGGTAAGGGCCAGCATACACACATGCAGCTTGAAGTGAAGAAGAGACCATATTCACGCCTGAAGTGCAGCAAACAAACCCATGTTCATGAAGCAATTACTAAAAAAAAAAAAAAAAAAGCAGGAATGATTAACAAGCAAATAGCCTCTGCAGGAAGTCCAAAGGATGGCTGGCACTTATCTGAGAAAGAAGTGGGACTCACTATAATGAGCCTACTTCAGAAGGACCAACTGATCTAACATCAGCAGCAGGATTGGTTGTTCCTAACTGAAGCAGAAGACTGGAGCTTCTGGGGAGCCACCTGTTGGCAGCCATTTGCACTAAGGAGTTCGAGCTAGTTTCAAGTGGAAATTTTTGTTTTAATGAATCGTTTGCAGAGTAATTTGGCCGTTTCCGTGCTTCATTTTCATGAACAATACAGTTGTCTCTTAGTGTTTTGCTGACTTTCTGCACCTCTATGAGGTTAGCCAGGTTCATCTCTGGTCCCCAGTACACCAACAGGACTCATGACTGATGTGACTTAGCACTGGGAAGCTATATCAGCGAGACAGCTTCATGAAGCCACCAAGAGTCTACCCCCCAGGAAAACTACTGATACTGAAATGCAAATTTATATGGCAAATAATTATCATCAAACATATGCATTTTGTTATAACATTCAGTGTGATCAGAAATTTAGTAATCTATCAAGTTCAATTGAAGAACTGAGATGTAGCAGAAGAACAGATGGGATACAATCAACACTGCACAAGAATATGAATACAATACTGTGCTGTATTATACAATCAGCTAAAATCATGAAGTCAATGAAAGACAAAGTTTAACAGATAAACTGCTAACTAAATATCTCAATAAATTATAAACATTTTAAAATAGAAATATTGTATTCAGGGTCTAAGATAACTAGAATGCCCAGACACACGTCTCAAAAATACTCTATACAAAATACCATAAAATCAAAAGGAAATGTTACCTCAGTATAATAACACCACCTTTAAGTTATATGGGAAAATACTTTTTTATAGCAAAATTCCCACTTTCAACAACAGTCTGTTGATATTAGTAATCTATATCCTGTTCATGGGTTGAGGTTGGAGGCATTAAATTTCATCTCATCAGGTATAAAAAACAATAAGGTTCATTCAGCACATGAAATACTGTACAGTAACTACGCCAGAGTTTCAGAAGAGGTGTTAACCTTACTCTTTTAAAACAGAGGAGATTAAATCCCAGATAGGGTAAATGTAGACCAGCCATTCTCAACATGGGGTGATATCACCCCTTGTGTGCTCATTTGAAATAATTCTGGAGCATAAATTAAATAAACACACATGGATTTCATTGAGAACTGAAAAAGATGATTTCTGCCTTTGCTCTTGATGATGATTCGGTGAGAAAAATTAAACAAAAATTAATTAAACATACATTTACATGTGATTAGAAGTAGTCTATCACTACAGTATTTCTTGTAGAACTTCTAGTTACCTTGGGGGCTCTATTGAGCACAGGTTGAGACTCTTATGAAGACCACGAAGTATCCTGCAAGACTCATTAGGTTAATGGTCAAGAGTGTAATGGTCCCCACAAAGATAATAGTGCCCTATTATCTTTGTGGAGAACCGAGTTAAAACATCTAAATCTACAGACTTAACAGAAGCGTATCAACACAAATGTCAGAAATCAGTCTTACCATTACTTTCAGTAGATTATATTTTCATTGCATTACAAAGTTTGTATTGTATTGTCTATTACTGAGATGACTAACTGCTTTAGCTTTAGGCCAAAACAAAGAACTGGAACCCTGTAAAGTTATTCAGTGTTATTACTTGTCACATACTTGTCAACGACTGAATCAGAACTGATCCCAAGCAAAACTTGGAGAAAAACAAAAGAAAGTACTGCAGCAATTACAGGAATTGATGTGGCTTAATTGGCAAGAAGTATCCTTAGGGCACATTAACAACTTATAAGAACTTATTGACCTTACTGGGAATTATGTCAAAATTACAAATTTCTACTTAAACTTTCCTATGAATTGATACTTTTTGTGTATACACATGCTGCTGTGCCCTTACAAGTAAGAAATGATTTACTACCTTATTCTCTCTACTTTAAATGGCTCTTCATTCAAGTAAGTTTAGAATCTCTCCCTCCCTCTCTCCTTCCTACTACATGTTGGCTGCCTTTCCAAAATTAGTCAATTATCAGTCAAGTGAAGGATACAAAAACCAATGCTATGTTTTGTTTATAATTGCACAATTAACTTATTTACAACCGGGAATAATAAAACATTATATACTGTACTTAAATCTATTGATGCTACTGTAAACAACTGTCAATGCCACAATATAAACTAAAGTGTTTACAGAATTTATATATAGAAGGGAAAACTTTATTGTAACTCCTTATTCTTACTCCTACTCATGAAATCTTGCTTAAGTTATCTATATTCAAATTAAGTCAGACAAAACTAACCATATCAGACATCCGACACAAGCATCACATACCATTTCTTTCACAAGGGTCTGTATAAATCCATGTTCCGACACTAAGTACTGTTACCTTTCAAATTACTTACTTTCCACTGGATAAGGTATGCTAATGATCTTGTCAACATTTTGAGGTCATTCGTGTCTCCTCCAAAAGTCTCTGCCAGCCATTCTACAACCATTCTGAAGTGAACTGCAGTGGTCAGGTCAAATGTCTTGTGATACGTTTAAGGAATGTGGTGGTCAGTAAGAAAATTAACACTTAATCTTATTGACAGTTGCTACCCATTACAGAGATTCTACTCACACTCGGGCACTTTTGTAGACTTCTTATAACCTTGGTACAGCTTTGTGTACTACACTGTTTAACTTGCACTAAAATTATATAGCTTGGAAATAGACAAGCACATGAATATTAATTAAAAATACATGTCAAATATAATTAAATAGCACATGCCAAATGTCATTATAGAATCCCCTATAGGTCTGGTTTGTGATGCATCATCCCATGGTACTGAAGAACTTACTTTTTAAGACATTGCACAGTGATATGAATTCTGGTTTTCTTTCAAGTATGAGCTCTCATATGTTCTACAAGATATGACCTTCTTTTAAAAGCTTTTTGACACACTGAACAATGATGTGGCTTCTCTCCAGTGTGAGCTGTCATATGTTCTAGTAGATATGATCTCCGTTTAAAGGCTTTTTGACACACTGAACACTGATGTGGCTTCTCTCCAGTATGAGCTGTCATGTGTTCTAGAAGATACGATCTTTGTTTATAAGATTTTTCACACATTGAACATTGATATGGCTTTTCTCCAGTATGAACTCTCGTATGTTCTACCAGATATGATCTTCGCTTAAAGGCTTTTTGACAAACCGAACACTTATGTGGTTTCTCTCCAGTATGAGCTGTCATATGTTCTGCTAGGTAAGATTTTTGTTTGAAAACCTTTGGACACTCTGAACATTGATATGGTTTCTCTCCAGTATGAACTGTCATGTGTTCTGCTAGATACGATCTTCTTTTAAAGGCTTTTTGACAAACCGTACATTCATGTGGTTTCTCTCCTGTATGAGACGTCATATGTTCTACTAGAAACGATTTTTGTTTATAGGCTTTTGGACATACTGTACATTGAAAAGGTTTCTCTCCAGTATGAGATCTCATATGTTCTACTAGGTATGATTTTCGTTTAAATGCTTTTTGACACACTGAACACTTATGAGGCTTCTCTCCAGTATGAGATGTCATATGTTCTGCCAAATATGATTTCTTTTTAAAGCATTTTGGACATTCGGAACATTTGTAAGGTTTCTTTGGTTCTTGACCATTCTTTTCCTCTGGGTCGTTCATGTTCTTTTCTTCTGGATCACTCATATTCTGATCTTCTTGATCACTCATATTCTTATCGTCTTGATCATTCATATTCTTTTCTTCTTGATCATTAGCATTGTTTTCTTCTTGATCATTCATATTATTTTCTTCATCGTTATCATTGTTTTCTTCTTCATCGTTGTCATTGTTTTCATCTTCTTCATTCATATTCTTTTCTTCTTGGTCATTCATATTCTTTTCTTCTTGATCATTCATATTCTTTTCTTCTTTGTCACTCATATTCTTTTATCAAATTTTATTTTACAAATCTTTGATACAAAAATATATTATTTCTCTTGTGTGTAAACTTTTGAACACTTAAAAGATTATATCTCAAAAGACCTTTTTAATAAATCTAGCAGATTATTAGACAAGATTAACTGACAATGAATTAAAAAACAAACGTAAGCAAACTTTCTCAGTTTTCAAGATGGTTTATGCCGTTCTGAGACGTAATAGAGATGTTCTTCTTCGGAATGAATTTCAAGGTCTTTTACATAAAATACTAAGTAATCTAAAAGTTTCTAAAGCAAACACAAATTTGTTTAAAAATTTAAGAGCCAGTAAAGTACTCAAATATACTCCAGCATGATCAGTACACATGAAGTGGCCGTGCACAGGAACAGAGACTGGTGGAAGCTGCTAAGAGGAAGTAAATGCTGTGCTGTATACAGATCTAAGTGGCCAAAATACTGCTGGCGATGAATTCCTGGAGCACGTATTCTGCAATGCTGTTGAATATAGAAAAATGCATGAATGGACTCATCATTTTGAATATTGATTATCACTAACGTGTTTCCTACTTTCATTGGGTGGAGGAACCATCATCCCAAAGGAAATAGGAGACTAAAACGAAAACAATAGAAAGCAGCATTGAATGTAATGAAACGCCTCTTTCTGATGAGTCCTTGGTGGCTCCCTGGTGCTTGCTGCCTCACAACATTCACCTAATTCAATCCACACCAGGCCCTTGCAAGACGTATTTATTTCTACAGACACTTTTTCTCCACGGCCTACAAAGCGGAGGAAAGAGCCCTGAGAGAGATCATTGAGAGGAACGTTACCCCCCCAACTGATGTCAACCAAAAGATAAAATTAACAATATATTATACGAGTAAGAAAACCGCCAATTTGCTAATGAAGAATTCTCCCTACACAAAGTAAAACACCTTGAAAGAGACCAACATTGTCTACGCCTTTACATGCCCACTTGGGGATTGTCAGCCCCAACGATATCAGTATATAGGTCAGACAACAACATCCCTCTCTAGGTGATTAACACTGCACAAACAACAGGGCTCCATCAAAGAACCAACCCGTTCTCGCAAATTTAATAAGTCAATAACTTATTAAATATGTGCATAGGGCTACCCATCATAGAAAAAGACCTTACCTAACCTTGTTAGTATCTTAAGATAAGCATCTTATTGCTTCGTAATTACAATTATTACCTAACCTATAATAGGTATAGGTTAAGTAATAATTGTAATTACGAAGCAATAAGATGCTTATCTTAAGATACTAACAAGGTTAGGTAAGGTCGGTGTTTTCTATGAATCTTTTTAAGGGTATCTATTATGTTTAGTATATCACCTATGCACGTAGTTAAAAAGTCACACAACAAAGAGACGGATCACCAGGGATATTTTGACGAGTAACGCCAAAATAATTAATAGATACAATGACAATAGAAGATTTGATATCGGTGAGGTGCTGAATATCAAGAAATCTAAACCAACGATCAACAAACGACTGATACACAATTACATTCTACCCACTTCAAGACCCCAGGCCAATGCAGAAGCAGGACCGAATGACCCTGCAACAGGAATGGAAGCGGGCAGAACGTAAGCTGCCAACATGTCACACACTATGTTGATACATTTAATACCTTATCAATATCCCCTATGTAATGCCATTCATCCATATGTTCCCTATTCATCCATATGTTACCTAACCACCTCACCATAAGAGGAAAGTACCCAGTGCTAAGCACGGTAGAATTTGTCTTATAGAATGTGAGGAGTGACCCTGTGAAACGCATCACTAGGTGTCAGACCCAATAAAAAGTAAAAGTGAGCTTTGGAGAGTTCATTTTTCAACTTCCTGCTTCAGTGAAGAAGAGCCTGCTCAAATCCACCCACCCTGCCCAAATAGCTGCCCACCCACACCGCCCGACCAAATAACCGCCCATCCACACCAGGCGAAACTCATTCATATATACAATATAATGAGCTTGGTTGGATATAAATGGGAGCTGCCACTTATAGGACGTAGCCATTCTGCAGTTTCTTTACTATTATGTTCAAATAATGATTGGTAGACCTGGTATACTTAATTATACATTCATTATGACCTGGTATACTTCACCCCTCGACACCCATTAGGGTGTCAGTGAAGGGTAGTTTCTTTTGAAAGGAAACAGTCACAGTCTTGGGTGGTCCCCACCACACCAGCAAAGAAAGGAACCGCTAAAAAGAGGCCAGCACAAAGAACCCGATGAGCCACTTCCACCCAAGAACGCTGCACAAAAGAGGAAGCCAAAGTTGAAGTCAGTGCATCACCCTTAAAATCAGATGCCTCCAAACATCTACGCAGACATCAAGGCCTGAACCCCAGAAGGCTGCCCACCCACCCTGCAGCTGACAAAACAGAAGACCAGAAGAGAAACAGGGGTGAAGTGGACAAGAGGGAAAGAGACCAAGCTATATCTCCAAACATGGGAAGGACCCAAGAGCAATAGTCAACAAAGTAGAATTCAGATCATCCACTGCAAAAAGCTGTCTCCCAGAGTACTGTGCTTGCTCTAATGCTTTTTCTCATTCTCATATTGTACACAGGCAATGCATGAAATGGGTAGAACTAATACAGTGCACAAATAATTACACCCAATACAGTATACAAACATTACTGTATTACTAAACATCACAATGCTCAGGATGCTGTAGCACTTTTTAAATTGTAACCAGCATTGTGTTCACTGATATCTGAATCCTGTAGTCCCTGTGGAAAAGTGGTAACACACTCTCCTGGTGCTTTGCGAGTAATTTGGCCCACGTTCATATCCTGGTTCGGGAAGATTGACTCGGCACCAATCCTTAATTGTATGCCTACTAACAGGAGTCAGCAGCTGTCTTTTCCAGTACCCACCTGCATATAAATAATAAAAATAAAAATAAAAATAATAATAATAATAATAATAATATGCAGGCGATGAGTCACAATAACGTGGCTGAAGTATGTTAACCAGACCACACACTAGAAGGTGAAGGGACGACGATGTTTCGGTCCGTCCTGGACCATTCTCAAGTCGAGAATGGTCCAGGACGGACCGAAACGTAGTCATCCCTTCACCTTCTAGTGTGTGGTCTGGTCAACATAATAATAATAATAATAAAATAATAATAATAATAATAAAATAATAATAATAATAATAATAATAATGAGAAAATCCACTCTGGCTATGGGTGGGCACGAACGTACGACCACAACATTGGTGGTCTAGTGGTAGAGTATGCGGCTTGGCAATGCTGTGGTCGTAGGTTAGCACCCACCTATAACCCTAGTGGATTTTTTCATTGGTATATACTGTATCCCGTTAATGTAATTTCTCTGTGTTAATAATAATAAACTTGTACATAGTCTATTACAGTCAGGATCTTCTATGACATTATTATCATAAAACAATAAGACAATGATGATATTATCATCATAAAACAATAAAACAATGATGACATTATCATAAAACCATAAAACAATGATGACATTATCATCATAAAAAATCAAACAATCTTAAGTGATGTGGACACAAACTGCACAGTGGTGCTGTGAGCTGCTACAGCATGCACTCACTTTCTGTGGTCACCTTTTCAATAATGAAGACGTCACACCCATATTTTTTTCAAAAAATGGCACCTGTTTACTGTAGGCCTGAGGAATCAAATGTGAGCCACATGTACACACGAGACGTTAAAATCTTCTGAGGGACTTTAAAACAGCCTGGGGCTATGTCGCACTCTTTGGGGATAATTAGCCTCATCAACGATGGCCGTGTCATGCACCAGAAGGATAAAATGTTGCAATGAATGGCCTCTATTTGCCATTTTTATTAACAAGTTGTCTACCAGCAGCAATAATGATGCTGCACTTGATGTGAGATGTAAAAAAAAAAATTCCAAGGCACAGAAAATGTATGACACAAGACAGGGTGTGAAAATAACACCCCTTCCTCCATCATCTCACTGCAGTCATACTGGTGAAGAGCGTTTTCGAGCGTTTAGAAAAGGAAATATCATCTGGGGTGGAGTGGCATCAACACATGGTGCATCACATGTTGTGTCCAGTGGAGGCTTTACGCCACTACCTGTTGGCCACTAGTTCTGTGACAGTGGACGCTCTTTGGGTGGCTCTGGTTTCCCTGGTTCCCTGTTCCAGGGCTCGTGTGTCGCAGGTTGTCCGCAGTGTCATCAAGTCCAGCCACCCTGCGATCTACCCTCAAGCCCATGGCGTACGGAAGTACATGGCACTCGCCGTGGTGTTTGGAAACATGTCTTGGATTGACATCTAGGCACCTAGGTTCTGGAGCTCGAAGAGGGTCCTGGCCGCCAGATATCTTGTGAACGTTCCAGGCCCCCACTTACTTTAAGGAGTCTGTCTCTTTTTCGACTTGAGACCTGCGATGCTGCCGCCTTCCGGGTAAGTCCCTGTTTTTCCTTCTCTGTGGGTAGTTAGCTTCCGGGAGCTGATAGGGCTTTCCCCAGAAAACCAGCATTGAATGTAATGAAATACCATTTTCTGGGCAAAGCCATGGAGGCTCACTGACACCCTCACTCCCTCCGGACAGCAGTTTTTTTGGCTTTACATCAGGCCTAGAACTGAGGTGGCAAGTAGACGGCTTGCCTAGGTGGGCTCCCCCTCCCCCTTTGAGGGGGAGGGGGATACGCTAACAAGCGGGAGTACTAGTTGAGGGTAAGGTTGCCAGTTTCAATTATTTTCTGATACTTTTCTTCTTTTCTGAGGAGAGCCCCTTTGGCTCCCCAGAGCTATACTGGGCTGATGTGTATATATTAGACTGTGGCAACAGTCAGTTGATGGAGTTCTTAGCCTACCGAGGACCACGAGCCAGAACCTGGCCCCCTCAGAGAGGCACGAGGAGTAATGGCCTATAGACACCCTCATGTAGTTGGAAGCAGTCTATGTCTGCTGCTATCTACCAGGTCAGGCACCCAGAAAGGTAGGAATCCCAAAACAAACTACAGCTGGTTAAAAATTGCAAACCGAAAGCCAAACAAGCAGGCAGAACTCCCCCAATCCGAAAACAACCAAATAAGCATGACGTCACCACAGCCGCCACCCTACTGTGTGCAGCTCCCCCCTCCCTGAGAGGGGAAAGGGGGACCCCAGACCTCCTGCACGGCTACCCAACCCCAGTTCTGAGGCTCTGGCTCCAATCCTTGAGCAGTGCTGTGCCTTGTGGTGTTGTGCTGCGGTGTGGTGGTAATTCCAAAAGGTGCCAGGTGTAATTCCAAAAGAACTGGGAATAGATGTACCTACAGTTACCTTCCCTAGGTGTCCCTGTAAGTACCGTACTGCCCTTGCAGTTTGGGGTTACCTTCCACAAACTGTTTAGGGACTGCCTCCGCAGAGTTCTTTTGCTGCTTGGTGATTGCCCACCCTTAGGGTCAGCTGGGGGGTTTTCCTACCACTGTTTTGCTTTAGGTTAGAGGAAGTATCATCGCTGGCTGGGATGCAAGGTACTGTGTAGCTGTCTTATAATACGCATAGCAGCTGGTTCTGTTCCTCCTGGAGACGGTGTGCATTTGTGGGGTGTTTATTTTCTTTTGTTTTGTTTTACCTGGTGGGAGTTTGTCCTGGCCAGGCCTCCAACCAGGAGGCCTGGCCAAGGACCGGGCCACGGAGACGCTGATCCTCGGAATCATTGACAGCTATACAACAGGTATGATCTAGGCATGGTTAATCTGCAACTTGCATCCATGTATATATCACTGATGAGTCATGCAAATATGACCGATGTCAAAGAATGGAAATATGTCAAAGAAACGAGTGAACACTAAATTTACAAATGAAAAAAAATGTCAGAATCATGCAGCACAGAACACTGAATTTCCTGTGTCAAAACATTATTTGTGGGGAACAAATGTCTCATATATTTACCATTTAAAGGTTCAGCATTGTTTACATTCTGGATTACTAAAAAGGAAAAAAGTTTGTACTCGAATAAAGGCTTCAGTGAAAGAAAACATGGATCTTCTTACACGTAGAAGCATGGAAAATAATTTGGGTCATCGAGAATCGGTTAACCTGGACATCACAAATGTAAACTTGGTAGATAAATGGAAACAGCTATGGACACAATTTATAAGCTGACAGAATATTGACAATGTTTTAAAGCACACGTCACTGTGAAATGTCTAGGACCGAGATAGTTGACTTTACATAAATAAGTGGGGGGGGGGGGGGGGACTGAAGTCCTGTGACAGTGGTAATTTTATGGGGCACTGTAGAATTTATTTATGAACTCCTCAGTAATCATCTGGCCCAATATGGAAATCGGAGAAAAGTCAAGAGCTTCATAACTTTTATCTACAATTTGTAAATGGTAACAAACATTGGGAGATAAAATCATATCAGTTATCAGTGAAGTAAGGAAAGCAAACTTTTTCATCATGTGTAGATGCGATACCGGTCATGCAAATGTTGATCACCTTACTATAATTCTTCATTGTGTTTAGAAATTCACTCAAATTACAAAACAATTCATTCAATTTATACAAATAGTCAGAGGGGCAATTATCTGGCCAAAGAAGGTCTGAGTCTTGAAAATACATGAAAAAAATATATATATACTGTGTGTGTGTGTGTGTGTGAATATATATATATATATATTATATATATATATGTCGTACCTAGTAGCCAGAACGCACTTTTTGGCCTACCATTAGGCCCGATTTGCCTAATAAGCCAAGTTTTCCTGAATTAATATATTTTTCTAATTTTTTTCTTATGAAATGATAAAGCTACCCATTTCATTATGTATGAGGTCACTTTTTTTTATTGGAGTTAAAATTAACGTAGATATATGACCGAACCTAACCAACCCTACCTAACCTAACCTAACCTATCTTTATAGGTTAGGTTTGGTTAGGTAGCCGAAAAAGTTAGGTTAGGTTAGGTTAGGTAGGTTAGGTAGTCGAAAAACAATTAATTCATGAAAACTTGGCTTATTAGGCAAATCGGGCCTTGCATAGTAGGCTGAGAAGTGAGTTCTGGCTACTAGGTACGACATATATATATATATATATATATATATATATATATATATATATATATATATATGTCGTACCTAGTAGCCAGAACTCACTTCTCAGCCTACTATGCAAGGCCAAATTTGCCTAGTAAGCCAAGTTTTCATGAATTAATTGTTTTTCGACTACCTAACCTACCTAACCTAACCTAACCTAACTTTTTCGGCTACCTAACCTAACCTAACCTATAAAGATAGGTTAGGTTAGGTAGGGTTGGTTAGGTTCGGTCATATATCTACGTTAATTTTAACTCCAATAAAAAAAATTGACCTCATACATAATGAAATGGGTAGCTTTATCATTTCATAAGAAAAAAATTAGAGAAAATATATTAATTCAGGAAAACTTGGCTTATTAGGCAAATCGGGCCTTGAATACTAGGCAGAAAAGTGTGTTCTGGCTACTAGGTACGACATATATATATATATATATATATATATATATATATATATATATATATATATATATATATATATATATATATATATATATAGTATGTATATCACGAAAATAAACACGTGATTAAGAATGTGACAAAGTCAGACCACGGAGGAAAAATGAAACAGGAAATTTCCTTAAGTACTTTCGTATATTAACCAAATTATCGAGCCATAGTATATTGACCTTCTGAAGATGTATTTAATATACGAAAGTACTTAAGGAAATTTCCTGTTTCATTTAATAAGCCAAGTTTTCATTAAATATTTGTTTTTCGACTACCTAACCTAACCTAACTTTTTCGGGTTGGTTAGGTTCGGTCATATATCTACGTTAATTTAAACTCCAATAAAAAAAAATTGACCTCATACATAATGAAATGGTTAGATTTATCATTTCATAAGAAAAAAATTAAGAGAAAATATATTAATTCAGGAAAACTTGGCTTATTAGGCAAATCGGGCCTTGCATACTAGGCAGAGAAGTGTGTTCTGGCTACTAGGTACGACATATATATATATATGTTGTATATATATATATATATATATATAATATATATATATATACAACATATATATATATATATGTCGTACCTAGTAGCCAGAACACACTTCTCTGCCTAGTATGCAAGGCCCGATTTGCCTAATAAGCCAAGTTTTCCTGAATTAATATATTTTCTCTAATTTTTTTCTTATGAAATGATAAATCTAACCATTTCATTATGTATGAGGTCAATTTTTTTTTATTGGAGTTTAAATTAACGTAGATATATGACCAAACCTAACCAACCCTACCTAACCTAACCTATCTTTATAGGTTAGGTTAGGTAGCGGAAAAAGTTAGGTTAGGTTAGGTTAGGTAGGTTAGGTAGTCGAAAAACAATTAATTCATGAAAACTTGGCTTATTAGGCAAATTGGACCTTGCATAGTAGGCTGAGAAGTGAGTTCTGGCTACTAGGTACGACATTATATATATATATATATATATATATATATATATATATATATATATATATATATATATATATATATATATAATTGTACACACAGTAGAGGGGTAGAGAGATATAGATATATGCAAACTGGTCAATTATACTATAATAGGATGCATGCTAGAGTACAATATTGTATGTGATACAAATTATCGAGCCATTTTTGCTCCTTGTGGTGCCCACTAACACAGTTTAACTGGACTGTGTACTGTTGATTGTTGCATTAAAGCCATATCTTTTTATTGGAGAAGTTCAGTCATGTGCGTGTGTACTTCCACACACAGGTATCCCATGTTGAAGATTTTTATTGGATTCAGGCTTCCAGTCATAAAACATACTCTGGCAAAAAATGGGCACCCATTCACTATCAAGCAGATACACAGATTTATGTAGCTTTGAAAGCACTGTACCTTCAGGTGACTACAGTAGCAACAAAAGCTTAAGTCATGTAATTTAGCTGTATCACTTTAGAAAAGTATCTTACCAAGTAACTGTGATCCTCAATTATGTCTAGAGAATAATACAAAAGAGTTAGGACTGATGAAAGTTTATTGCTGACCCTGAATATCTAGCAGGATTACGTGACCAGTTTTCTTATCTTGAAAAATCGGAACCAGAAGGGATCTGCAACAGAAAACGACATGTTATAAAAGGTCAAAAAGAGAGCAAATGTCTAGTAATGAAAATGTTTGAATTAACACATTTCTTTAAATCACTGACAGTGTGCATTGCTCTAAATAACCAGACTAAAGTCTACGTGCATGTGAATATTCAAACCTGTCATCCAAAAGTGATAGCACAATACAGTACTTATATGTAGCAACTATTTACTATAATTTACCTGTGTGGGCCACTATATCTCTAGTGGCCTTAACAAGGACAAAAAGCCAGCAGCTTGTCAAAGGTTCCCCCTCATTTGTTGTGATGATTTTGTCGAGTTGGATGTTGAAATTCCAGTGTTTTGGAATTTACGGCTTCATTGGGTTTATAACTCTAAGGGTGAAAAAGAATCTCCTTTCTGTCCTGCATTGTGCCTTGTTGATCTTGAAACCACTCCTCCTTGTTTGTGTAACATCTCACCTTTTTAAGAAGTGGTCAAGATCAATATCCTCCAAATTGTTCAGAATTTTAAGTTTCAATGAGATCAGACTTATTATGTCTGGTTTGCACTTTTGTTAGCCCTGTGGCCCTCAACCAATCCTGGTATGAGAGACAACTTAGTTCAGGAATGATTTTTGTTGTCAGTGTTAAACTTTCTCCACACCAAATGTCTTTCTGAAAATGAGGTCTCCATGCCTAGATACAATAATTCAAGTTGGGGGTGCACCATTTACTTGTACAGTTGTATAACTACCTTCATTTCCTTGAGGTCAATGCTTCATTTGACCATTCCTAGGATCCATCTTTGTTTTCATTTGACTATTCCTAGGATCCATTTTTTTTTTTTTACACTGCAGTTCCCAGTTGTGACCACAATTTTCGGTGATTGGTGAATTCTGACTCCAAGGTCTTTTTCATCAATCTGATGCAAGGTAATGTTGATTTGTACTAAAAACAAATATGTATTAAATTAGCCCAAATATTATATAAGGCCTAGGACAGGCAAGTTTGTATAGTTCCTGTACCGTTCTTGTGCCATGCCATTTGAAGTAATCCGAAAGTACAGATCATGAACTTTCTATTTTCAATAGTAAAATAATAATTATACTCCATCAATAGTTGCAACAAGTATAATACTCTATTAGTACGAATGCGTTATGGAGGAAAAACGTGTTCCGTGGCAGAATTCGTGAAATGTTGGAGGCTGGTTAACCATAAGCTATCTGTATATAAATAATTTCCATGGTAGCACTCCAGATTCTGATTGCATCAAGTTGACACCTATCCATAATATTTAAAATTTTACTATACCCATTAATTTTTGTCTGATTTTAATATAATACTGCATAGCTTATTTTAACCCTTAAACTGCGCAACGCGCCTGCAGGCTCACGTCTGGTTTGCGCAACGCGCCTCCGGGTATTTGTATTTTTCACGTTCCATTCAAAACTCCGGCGGCTACATGGGGTTCACATCAGCTTCCTCAGGGCTCTTGTAAACAGACGCCATCTTTAAAAAAAATCGTGGTCCACATTCCCGGGTGTGGGAGCCTCAGTAGTGTGTGAGCAACCAAGGCTGGCGCTCGCAGCATGAGCGCACAGCACTGCTGTTCAGCATGTGACCACAGCATCGCCTAATAATGCCAAAATATATATATAACTTGTATTATTTAGCTATGATAGCGTTATATTAGAGCCTGAGTGTGATAATGACTGGGTACAATGTTCAAATATCAGTGATTCAATGCTGTTCACGATGTTCACAGCGCTAGCCACAGCACCACAGCATTATTTCGTTCATCTAGGAATCTTCAAATGCTTTCTTAGGTTCCTTTTCAAAATAAACGTGTGGTCAATTATTCATTTACAGGAATTAGTGACCAGGATTGTGATAATAGCAGGATTGTGGTTATAATTAGCGTTGTGCGTAGTATTGTGGAAGGAGGAATTTTGATGAGGGAGGGCGATAATTGAGGTAGCCTCATTGTGTGTGTGTGGCTGCCACTCTTGTTTTGCTCACCATACTAGCTTAGTGGTTCGCTATGGGCAACACATATGTACATGGGTATATATAGTGTGTGTATATAGTGTAAGAACAGCAACAGGAGAATGTTGAGAGGAGCTATTTCGGTGAGGGAGGTGACGTAATCGTAGCGTCGTCTGCTGTGTGATTTTTCATGCAGTGTATGGTGGCCACTGTACTGTTTGGACACAATACCGGCTTACTTCCATAGTTCTGGTAAATAAAACATGTAGATAGGTATATAGAACATGTGTAATAAGAACTATAATAATATGGTGGGAGGAACAATGTTGGCGAGTAAGATGTTGGAGTGAGGGAGACTGGCTGGGTGAGGCTGCTCTCACTCGAGGTGTTCTGAATGTGTTCATGGTCAAATGCTCCTATTGGCCCATACGAGGCAGCTGCTATTGGCCCATACGAGGCAGCTGCTATTGGCCCATACGAGGCAGCTGCTATTGGCCCATACAAGGCAGCTGCTATTGGCCCATACAAGGCAGCTGCTATTGGCCCATACAAGGCAGCTGCTATTGGCCCATACGAGGCAGTTGCTATTGGCCCATACGAGGCAGCTGCTATTGGCCCATACGGGGCAGCTGCTATTGGCCCATACGGGGCAGCTGCTATTGGCCCATACGAGGCACCTGCTATTGGCCCATACGAGGCACCTGCTATTGGCCCATGCGGGGCACCTGCTATTGGCCCATACGGGGCAGCTGCTATTGGCCCATACGGGGCAGCTATTTGCCCATACGAGGCAGCTGCTATTGGCCCATACGAGGCAGCTGATATTGGCCCATACGAGGCAGCTGCTATTGGCCCATACGAGGCAGCTGCTGTTGGCCCATATGAAGCAGCTGCTACGCGGTGTTCTGAATGTGTTGATGGTGAATGTATATAGTGTGTGACAGTGTATAGTGTGTAAATAGATTGTATATATACACAAATTAGCATGATACATAGTAAATATGTGCTGCATATGTGCGCACAAGTTTCATGCACATAACACAGTGTCTACGGACAGTACGGATGTTGTACTGCGATATTATAGTGTACGTGTTTATTATACATTGGATTGGCACATAAAAACAATGAAAATGTATTTGGAAAGGTGCGCAAAAAATGAACGAAAATATATTCGCGGCAACTCGCGCACCCCGCCCCGAGCGCCCCACCGCCCCCGAGAGCTTACGGCACGGGCGCACGGGGAATGATGACGTCACGCCCCAACTTCCGGACCCCATAGCAGCCAAAGTAAGTACAATTTCGACTTTTTTTTACATACCCATACTGAGGGAAGGGTTTTTGACACTTTAAAAAGAAAAAAGAATTTTTTCCAGAGAATTTATTTCCTGCGCACTGTGGGGGTGTCACATTTGGAGGCAACGCAGTTAAGGGGTTAAAGGAAATTTTGTATACAACGAAAGAAGTTATTACCAACATTAGGATATAACTTGCAATTTCTAAGATAAAGGAGTATATACAGTATATATATATACACTGTATATTGGTACAGTGGTACCCTGATTTACAACTGCCCTAGAGTACAATTTTTTTGCTATACGACATCAAATTCATCGTAAAATTTGTTGGTGTACAATGTTTTCATTGGAATACGACGTCTGTTGATACATGTATGGGTCAAACGAGCACATGGCACTGGGGGCGAGGCACGCTCAGTTGTTTACCAGTGTATCCCGCATAATGACGACCATGACCACACTTGATTTCTTTGTAAAGAATTTCATTGTTTTCTACTTTTTGATTTATGAACATAAAAGTTTTTATTATACAGTGGGGCCTCGACTTACAATGGTAATCTGTTCCCAGAGACGGATCGTAAGTCGAAATATCGTAAGTCGAAGCGATTTTTCACATAAGAAATAAAGGGAATTGAATTAATCCGTTTCCCCACCCTCCAAAATATTAACTTACAAATACATTTTATACTGAATACAATTTTGTTCTCTAACTTCAATACAGTACATATGTTTATCTTACCTTTATGGAGGACTCTTAACGGTGTATGGAAGATGGTGATGAGGGGGGAGGAGGAGAGGTGTTACTGTTTGGTAGGGGAGTCCCCTTCCATTATAACATCAGGCAGTGATGACTTTTCTGGGATACACTCTCTGGCATGTTTTGCCTGCATACCACTAGGACCTGCTTGTGGCTCACTGCTTGCTTGTCTTACTAAGAATCTGTCTACAAACACTTGTTTTTCCCTACATTTTAACACTTGTCTGTAGTAAGACATTACATTGTCATTTAAAAGGTCAATGCAACGGTCTGCTACAGCTTTATCTGGGTGAGTTTTTTCAACAAAACTTTGCAGTTCTTCCCATACTTCACACATTTTCTTAATGAGAAAGGGATAACCTCTACTGCCTCAACTCACAACTATTTTCTTAGGTTGAACCTTACCACTGACTTTCTGCGACCCATTGTGTGATATATAATAATCAGTTTTATGTTCAAAAAGCAAAAAATCATCACAAAAACGAAATTTCTTATAGGTGTGATTGTCACTAAGTGGGCAGCTCTAGTAAACTGAGGCAGGTTGGCCCGCGTGACCGGGAACCACACGCTCGGTTGACCCAAACGAGTACCAACAAATATCGTTAGTCGACGACACTATCGTAAGTCGGGTCGCATTTTTCGATCAAATTTCCATCGTAACTCGAAATTATCGTAAATCGGGGCAATCGTAAGTACAGTATAGGTGCCACTAACCATTTTAATGACAATGTGATGTCTCACTACAGACAAGCTGAAAACGTAAGGAAAAACAAGTGTCTATAGACAGATTCTTAGTAAGACAAGCAAGCAGTACCCCACAATCAGGTCCTAGTGGTATGCCTGCAAAACAGTCGAGAGAGTACCCAAGAAATGTCATCACTACCTGAGGTTATAATGAGTGGGAATCCTCTTTCAAACACTAATACCTCTCCCTCCTCCTCCTCCGCACCATCTTTCAAACACCACCAAGAGTCCTAAATAGAGGTATGATATACAGTACTGTAGTATAAAATATGAGTGGTACTCGGTATAAAATGTATTTTCAAGTTAATATTTTTGGGCGTGTGGAACAGATTAATTAAATTTACATTATTTCTTATGGGAAAATTTGTTTTGGTTTATGATTTTTTGGGGACCGATGCGTCCCTGGGAACGGATTAGAATCGTAAACAAAGGTACCACTGTACAGTACATATATATTTTTTCCTTAATTTCTCGAGCTTAATTGTAAACAAATTTATTTATAAAGTTTAATTTTCCAGAATATGTTTTTTAATTTTGTTGCTGATTAAACCTTTTTTTCTGTGACACTAAAACTTCTAATGATTCCAATACTGATTCAGGTTCCACTAAAAAGTCTTGATTCCGATTCCTCTCCTTTTCATAAAAATAGTTTGTTACATACTTATTTTTCTGAAAAATTTGTATTCTAGTTTGGAAAATTAATGATTAACATTATGAGTATGACAAATGTATTAATAATAGATTTAAGAATAGAAAACAAGAGTAACTCCAACTTAATCCACTGAAAGAAACCTGAAACCATTCCATTATACATGCTTGAACTGTGTACAATACAATAAAATAAAATCTGTAATCTTATTTCAGATAAAGGTAATATTGCAACACTAATTCAATAAAAGCATACATAAGCATAGAGGGTGTGCTTATCTATGAGGTATAGATAAGCTCAATTAAAGCATACAGGGTCCCGGTAGTACAGTCGGGTTCATGCTCTA